TAGCACTGTGCAGCAGTTTCAGTTATATATGCCTTTAATACCTGAGTTACCAAAGTTGATGACCACCAAGCCTTCAGCTTTACTAAGAAGCATATTTGTACACTGAGAAAAGGCTTTGTGGACTGGGAACAGGGCTTCAATTGGCAAACAAACAAACAAAAATAACAGCAACCAATCAATCAAACAGAAAGAGAACAGTAGGGTTCTAAGAAGAACAGCCAATTTCCTCTGCTTCTGAGTGGAATCTGTCCGAGGTTATCTGTCAGGGAGACAAGTGGGAGATGCTGGCCTCTTCAGACGCTGTAGAAGAGCTCTGCATGGTGACTGGCCAGGCCACGCTGCCCCCAGGGCAGGAGGGAGGCAACACCCACTCCAGAGAAGTTGGTCCTGCCCCTTCTGCACCTCGTGCCTGCACTCACACCAAGTAGCTTATTAACTCCAGGAGGGTCTGCCTGTGGCCGTAGCAACATGGAACATGGGCAGTGATGTGGAGGAGGAAGATGGGTACCTATGTGGAGGCAATCTCTACCTCCTGTCTTCTACTGGGAGATTTTTCTAGGCAGTTAACCAAATCATCCAACCATTGCTACCAGGGATGAAGTCAAATCGTTTAGTGAGTACACCTGATACCTAAGTGGCCAAGGGCATGAAAGACGTGAAAAGACAACAGTGACATAGCTTACTTACCTCTTCCTTTCACACTGACTTTCCTTGGTCTGGTATGAAGGAAGAGTGGGCAAATTCTTTACTCTCCTAGCTCCAGGGCATTTTTTCTTCTCTGTGCCCAATTAATCTTGGGTGATCTTAAGCTTCTTAAATTTCTCTTGTGATCTATGTGGCTTGAATAGGATGAAGAAGCTATAAAAGCTGGGCCTTTCATCATTGTTCTTCCACTGAGGCAGTCGGTGTCACTGCCCCCGAAGTGGCAGCATGCCCCTCAAGAAGGGAGGTCACTGAGTTTGTCTTCTGCTCTCTGTTTTCCTGCTTTGTTGACAGTTCCTAATAACACTGCTGGCATCAGGATTTTGTAGACGCAGGAAGGAAGATATGTGTTCTTTAATGATGGAAAAATATTAGAGCACAATGCCCTTAAAATAGACCGTGTGTGCCTAGCCTTTATTTTGGGGACTTTATTGTTGTAACCATCTCTCCTGGGAAACCCTGTGGGAGGCTGTTCCACTTTGGAGAAGCAGAGTAATTGTGTAACCTGAGGTGTCCCCGAGAGAGCTGAGGGGATGATGTCAACACACAGGTTTTTGAAACATTATTACATTTTTTATGTTGATTAGCGCTCCAACACATCTCTCCTCCCCAAACTCCAACTTCTGTAAAATGAGGATTATCATATATGTGCTGCCCACCTCACTAGGCTGTTACGAGGATCTAGCAATATAATTGACAAGATTATGTTTTCAAACTGTAAAATGCTACCAATGTAAATTATCTCTGTTAGTGACAGTTGGAAGCCCTGCTCCTCTGGAGTGGCATCATTCCACTTTTCATTTTTTATGAAATAAACCTTAGCCCTATTGTTGAAATTCATGCTTTTGCACTGATATGGGCTAAGTGTGCAAAATGTTCGGTATCCACACCAGAGAACTGCTACTAACTTCAGCTCTCAGACTGATTTTTCATCCTCTTTCTCATCTTAGGCAACTCCTGGGAGTCCTGCCTGAGTTTCTTCCAAGTCGGTTTCCTCGCATTTGGCACTGTGTCTAATGTCAACTTCTTCTGCTTTTTTTTTCTTTTTTTTTTTGCTGAAAATCATCAATGAAAAATGCTTCTGATTTCATGGTTACCTACTTTTCCCCATCATTAGCATCCCCTTATTTGGACCATTATTGTAGCCTGCCAGCAGGACTGACGACTTGCTCTGGGGATGATGTTAATGATTATCAGGGGAATTTTCTATCTGAAGATGATTAGGAAGAACGCAAAAGTTGCTCGCTGCCTCAGTCAGCGTCAGTGGGCTGTAAGGGATCTGTGTCCAGGCTCCTCTGCGCAGGTCTTCGTTCCCATTTCTAAGACGATAGTTTATGACAATTCACTGCTGACCAGAAAGTGCTGTGGTGGAACCCACGTTTTACCAGGAAAAGCAGTGAAAATCCTCCCAAAGGGTCCACCTTCAGCAAACATGGGTTCTGACCTCTGGGACATTTTTGGTATTAGACATCAGGAGGAAAAAGCCTCATGATAGCCTTTGTGTGCGTGGATGTATTTGCAGAGGGAGATGCGAACTCCTCGCCACTCAGCTGCGTCTCCTGATTTGCTCAAATTTCATTTCCATTTGCTGGAGGGACATCTGCACCTTTTTCTGCCCAGCCACATTTAATGCACATCAGTTCAGCCCTAACCCTCTGTTGAGGTCAACCGCCCCCCACCTCCAGGCATCCCGGGGGGGTTAGAACTCAGGATACACAATACTCTAAATGGAATATTGAAGATCCCCATCTGTCTGGCAGTCCCGATCAATAACCGTGAGCCCTTCCTTCCCAAGTCTGTACAAGAGATATGACACCACCTGGTTTCAAGACAAGCGTGAGATGTGGGTTTCTAAGGGTTACCGAGTCCCAGCACCCAGCTGTCGCAGTGCTCAGCCAGGACAAGGATTATGCTCTTAATCATGTTATTTTGTTACTAAAGTGTTCTTTGAAATTCCCCTCACTCCTTTCTCTCAAGCAAAATGTACCCGTGTCTGAAATTGTAGGTGCCTTTCTGACACTTTTATTCTACTTGTGGAATGACTTTCTTTGAAAGAGCTTTTGTTCAGGCAGTCAAACCTAGGTACCATGGTTCTGGGACATCTTGTTTGGTTCCTGCCAACTGACAAGGCTGAACAACAAGACCAATTTGTGTTTACTTGACATAGCACTTCAGGAGCGGACAGGTCGAAGATGCCAGCTCTGGCCCCGTGAAACACCTATCCTGTTGGCTGTACTGGGGCAGCCACTCCTTAGGGCCAACAGTCTAAAATCACCCTGCAGAAGCCACCAAGCCTGTAACTAGCAAGCTAGCAAACACAACAATTAAAAAGCTGGGTTATCTGAGACACTTCTTGAGCCTGAGCGGGGACATCCCTGGGGCCCAAGCTAAAACACAGGCTGCACCTGCTCAGCCTCTGTCACCTCCCCACCAGACCAGAACAAAGCTGACTGCAGCAAAAGCCACCATACCAAGTATCAGGTTGCACTGCAGGGACTGTCGGCTTCAAACCAGTGTGATCGGAGCCTCAGCCCACCCTTTGCCTGGGCCCAGATGAAGACATTTGGGATGCCCAGCTGGGGAAGGGTGAGGTGTGTATGAAGGGCTTCCTCTGTCACTCAGTCAACTGAGCGAGAAGGAGATGCTGTCTCGGCAGAGGGGGTGTCAGCTCTTCCTAGCTAGTATTGCTCTAATGATGTGAATGAATGTGGGTAAGCGATAATGCATTTGTCCTCAGAAGAGCTGCTCTACATCAGCTCTAGGATCATGGGCAAATCCCTTCACTCGATGGACCTCAGCTTCCCCATCTTTTAAAATGGAAGAGTCAGACTAGCTGTTGGCTATTCTCTCAGGTTTACATTTGGGTATAACTGGGCAGGGCAAACCTGTTAGTCACACAAGCGGAAGGAAGCTCTTGTCTGGCAAAAAGAGGGGAGGGTCACAGAGCTGATTCAGTTGTGTTTCCTAAAGAATCTGAAATTGGATGTAGAGCTTACTTGTGTTGCTCCTACCAACTTGGTATGCCATTTGGCACCTTGCCCTGTGGCCGGCAGCCTCTCCCTGGACCAATCCATTTTCCACATGACTGCCAGGTGGCCTTCTGAAGCACAAACATGTGCACTTGCTGCTTCATGGTCTCCAAAGGGCTCCACTGCCCATCAGCTAGAATTCTAACACCTAGTAACAAGGCCGTCCTGCTCTGGCCCCAACCCCCTTTCCCAGCCTTGTCCCCACCAGGCTCTGTCATAGACCCTGCTCAGGGACCCCTAAATCTTTTGTTTCCCCATCACAGCACACATGGGGCCTTGGCACGAGTTATCCCTTCTTCCTGGGCTAGCTGTCCAGAGAACTCATTCTGTAAGAGCGAGCTCAAATGCAGCCTCGTGCCCTAAACCTTGGGGACACTGCTTCAGCACTTTCTTCCTACCTCCCAATGGCAATTACAGAGGCTGTCCCCACCTCTCTTGATAAACGAGGAGGAGGGAACTATCTTCTAGTCGACTTTGTGCCTGATGGTGCCATAGGGTGGGATTCAAGAAACACAACTGGAAGAGACTTATCAAAAGGTACTAGATCACTAGAGGTGTGAACTGAGGCCCAACCCACAGCTTCCTGCACTCAAACTGACCCTAAAACACTCAAAAAAATTATTTCACAAGGTCAAAAGTAAAACACTGTGGCTGAGGACTTATTTAAATAACTATCTTAAAAATATCCTGGAGGGAAAAACCTGATCTAGGCATTTCATAACGCTATTCTGCAAAATAAAAACTCCAGGGCTGCATCCCAATATACCTCCAGTCGCGTCTGCTGGGTTACAAGAGATAAATGCTAACAAGGAGTAAAATCCGCCACCCTCCACCTTATTAATATGTAAAAAGGCTGAAGTCACATCTGTGCAAGGATCTATTTTTAGTGGACCTTACATACTAAAATCCTAGCCTTGATCTCTTAAACTATCAAGCCTACCATAAATGTTTGATGATGAACAAGCCCATAAAAAGAAATGCATAAAATGAATAGAGGGAGTCAATGCGTGCTCTGCCTTTTAATTACCGGTGGCTTCTGCTACACTCCTGCTCCAGGCTGGGTGCAGGCAGAGAAAACACATCAATAATTGGGGGGAGGGGGGCAGAGTGTGGGTACTACAAACAAATGGGTCTAAATACGTTGTTATTTGTGCTTTGGAAGCCAAACAAAGATGGAGAAAAAGAGTGTAATCCTACCCCAAAAGGGTGGGGGTTAAAAAGGGAAAAATTAAGAGATAAATAAAAGCATTCAGCACACAAAAGATAATGTTGAAGTCTTGTTTTATTACTTTTAAGTAATAAAGAGCCTTTTCCTTGCTTTTTTTGTCTTTTTTCCCTTTTTTTCGATTCTTTTTTTCTTTTTTACAACATACATTAAGTCGTGAATCAGATGTTAGGGGATGTGGAGATGGAAGGAAAATTGGTGACATCACAATATTTTTACAGCTTTACAACAAATATAAATCTGAGTTGGTTGCGTCTACCAGTGTCTAGCAAGGGTGGAAAGCAAAGGCACACTCAGGTTTACGGACCCTCCCCCCAAACACAGTGGGGAAAAAAAGAAAAGGGGAACAATACTTAAATGCAGAAGACCAGCTCAATACATGTGGGCATTTTAGTGTTAACACCGCAAGTGATGGGTCGTGGGAGGTAGGGAGGCAGGATGGAAGTTCTGACACAGGTCTCCATAACACGGCTGAGGCAATGATGCCCACATACAGACGAGAGGGGGCGCTGCACCGTCAATACTCTTAGGAGTCAGAATTGGGGGAGAAGGCAGCAGGCTGATACACACCCATTGCCTTCCTATGCTCTGCATTTCTAAAGAAAATCCAAGGGAAAAAACACTATCTGGGTTTCTAGAAAAGACTTCATGGTTTCAGGGTACAGAGTTCACAGGATGTGAACATTGATTCCACGAACAAAACAAAATAACACAAAAACAACAAAAACCTGCCCCGAACAACAGCAAAACTGCAAGGGACATTTGAAACAAAAGGGTGTGCTCCTGCCCTCGCTACCCAGGTCTCGCTGATTACGGAGGCGCCACTTTTTCACCAGCCAACTCAAAATTGTCCAAAGTTGTCTTTTTTTGGAAAGTTTCTTTTAAAAGACAAAACTAAACCCAGAAGATAAAACTGGAAATAAAAAAAGACAAAGAGACCAGTCACTCTACTGTTTAACTGTTTAAAAAAAAATAACAACCAACAACAACGCTCATGGTTTACAGTATGTTGACAATTCTTTTGTTCGTGATAGAGTAAACAAAAGTCCCTCCTGTGTGCTTGAGCTTAACGAAAACAAACCAAGGGGGAAACACACGCCCCACCCCACCCCCCTACAAACAGTAACGACAAAAGGATAAAGAAATTAAAAATCTTTTGCCCCAGTCAACGTTTTTGCAGCATCCATTGTGGTCGGCCTTGTACTTGGAGTTACTCATTAATCACAGCAGGGACCAGCCTGCCTGCATCTATTTCCATGTCATTTCTTTGTGTGCATTGCATGGAGGTGCTGAGCACACGGCTTGGAGACTCCTCCCAGGTGCCTGCCCAACCACACACAGCTTGCTCTCCAGCCAGGGGACATGGCAGAAATGAGGACTGGGACATTCAGTTAGTCCCTTTTCTGCGGGCTAAAGAGGATATCACCATGTTGAAATGATCTGAGAATAAAAGGGAAACAGGGAGCTCCGGAGGGAGAAAGGGGATTTGCCACACACAACACTGGGGTCCACGCCTGACAGCATGGCCAAGGGTGGTTGGAGTTGGCACGACTAGAAGGAAGTGTGAATTGGAGGGTGTGCTGCTGCCCAGCTTTCCCAGGCTGCAGGATCACCACCGCATTCTTCTTCCATCTGCTGGATGCTCATCTTCCAGAAGGCTGGAATGGGGGTGGGGGGAGGGAGGGTTAAATAAATATCTGCATTTATTTCAAAAGGGGGAAAAACCTTCTCATAACGACAGTTTACAAGTGTACACAACTCAGGGTGTAAGGCACAAATTTACATGTGGAAAACAGGCTATTCACAGATGTAACCCCACGATAAACCCGTGTGATCAAACCATTAATTTATGCAAGGTAGCAGCCAGCATATTAACTAGTTCACACCGTTTGTGGATTTTGTTTGCTGTCTCACATGCAAGGTGAAATGGGATGGCGTATCACAAGCTGGTGCCTTCACAGAAAGTAGGAACCACTGACAAAGCCATGTTGGCAGCAACAGGACACGGATGCGCCATTTTGAAAGTTCCTCTCCTGGTTGCTTTAGAAGTTAGGATCTGGAAGGACTTTTAAACCAATTAATTTTTTGCATGTTATAGGCCAGAGACCTGACCAGCCAATCAACCGGTAGATTTAAATAAACATTCCCCTCCTTTTTCCTTGAGCTAGAGATCAGACAGTTCAAACACAAAGCTCAGAATTCCAGCTCCAACTTATTTACTCAGTGAATTTATTGTAAAAATAAAGAAACTTAATTATTCCAGTTAATGGATTTCACGTTAAATAGTTTAACTTTCAAGGGGCTTTCTGAAGAGCTGTTCATAGGGTGGTATGTGGAAGAGTCCTTTCCTTAAGGAAAAAAAGGGTGAACAATAAATAAAGAGTTACTTGCGTTAACGGTCACGTTATTTCATTAAAAGAGAGGAGGAGCAGAAATCTATGACATAGTTGCCCAACATGGCATGAATCTGCTATAACAGAAAGCTGTAACACTGGTGGGCATTTCACAGTATCTGCGCATAGTAAACTTCTGCCATTGTTAAAGTCTGAGTTAGAATTATCAATGAATTCTTTATTTTTTTGTCTTTTTCATTTTCATGATTTTTTAAAATGTATTTGTGTTTTGCAGGTCAGAACGCTAGCCCAGTCTGGCAGCGCCCCGTGCAGTCATGGACAAAATGTTGCAGTTGCTGTTCACCTCTGTGTGTGTGTGTGTGTGTGTGTGTGTGTGTGTGTGTGGGGGTGGGTGTGTATGTGCTTTTGGCTCATGTTTGTGATGATAATTTAAGTCTTTTGTGAGTCCGACCTGTTGCAGGGTGTGGGGGAGAGTGAAGGGAGAGAATGGAGGTGAGTCCCGCGCCGCAAACCTTCACCAAACCACACGGCCCAATTTTGGAGAGGACCCCGCGTCCCAGAGGAGGCCCCAGCGTCCTGGGCTTTGCCGGCCATCCTGGTCTGGTGGGTCCTCAGGCAGTTGAGAACCTTGCCGAGCTGAGCGGGCGCCTCGCCTTTCCTGCTGGTTCCATACCTGACCCCTCCCCCTGGGATTATGTACACGCATCATTGGGCTTCATGGATGTGGAAAGGGGAGCAAAGGAAGGTTTGGGGGGTACGTCCGGCTTTAGCGAGGGGGTGCGCTTCAGCCCCGACCTGGTCAGTGAGTTGTAGGCGTTGAGGCTCGGCTGCCTTGACACAGTCACGGCCTGGCCAGACGGCTGCGAGCTGTGCACCTGGATAGAGTCCACCCTCTGCGGGGCGGGAGGCGGGTTGTCACCCCGGCCAAAGCTCTGGTTTCTGGAGAGGTGGGAGGAATTGGAGGAGTTAGTATTGTTTCTTTTGAGAGTGGTGGCCTGGTGGCTTCTCGTGAGCGAGTTCGTGGGGTAGCTCCTCTTATAGTCAAGGCCGTAGGAGGAGGAGTGGTGCATCTCCAGCCGCTTGCTCAGGCCGTTCTGAGACAGGGAGGCTCCCGGAGGGCCCAGCGAGGCCTCCCGCTGGGGGACTTTCGGGGGCAGGCTGTCCAGGTTCTCCACAAGGTTCACCCCATGGTTGGGGCTCTTGCTGCTGAGATGTTCCTTGATGGTCTTATACTCCAGGGTGGCCGCCTGGTCCTCCAGCGCCATCTGGGCCACCTCGCTCATTTTGGGTTGGTCCACATACTCATGCTGGTAGCTCTGCTGCGTGATGGGCAGGACCACCACGCTGGGGATGTGGCTGGGGGAGGCCCGGAGGGGCAGGTCCGTGGGAATCACAGGGGAGCCCATGGGGGGCATGTCCTTGGTGCAGGCATTGATGAGGTTCTGATTCCTTTCCCACTCGCGGCTGCCGCGGCTGGGCTTCCGCTTCTGCTGCAGCGTCGGGGTGGACTCGGGGGTGGGCAAGGCTGCCAGGTCCAGGTGGTGCTGGTCAGCCTTGATGAGCATCTTGGCCGTGTTGCTGGGAGTGGCGAGCTTGCCGTTGTGCATGAGTGGTGTGAGGATGGCCTCTGGCTTCGGGTCTTTGGACTGGGTGTCCCCAAAGAGGCCGCTGAGCTTGGTGACGCTGCTCATGGAGCCCCGGCGCGAGTGGGCGAGCTCCTTCTCCTTGCGCTGCACGGCCGACACATCTTTGCGCCGGTGATCGCAGACGCAATAGACGATGATGCCGGAGAAGACGGCCCCCATGACAAAAGCCAGAATCACCGCAATGGCCAAGAGGGTGACAGGAACGAGCTGGTCGTGGCCTTTGAGGTAACTTTCCCGTATCACTCCTGCAATAGACATGGCATATGGTGTTAAGAAAGGAAAGCACACCGCGAGGCTTATTTTTGTTTGGCGTTCACCCTGTTAATTAATAACACTAATAAGTGACAATAGCACCTCTGCCTAACTTGTCTTCAAGGCGCAGCTTGCCAAACATTAACTAATTAATCCGTCCC